TCTCATTTCTCAACATCTAATTTATATGATAATAACCACTAACATATTTAATAGTTGAGTTCATGAGTCAACTGAAGTTAAACCACCATGGAAAACCTAGAAGCACTGGACAGCCGTTCCGTCCTAGTGTGGGACTCCTCAAGAGTGTGCATCCACGATCCCACCCCGCTGGATTCGAACCCGGGGCCTACCGGTGTCGGGCGCGATCGCTTAACCTCTGGACCACTGAGCTGGCACCCAACAGTGTTAATGTCTAAGCTCAACCAATCCACGAAATTGAGCCACCGTCCACCATTATGGGATTATGGATGCGCACTGCAGAGGAGTCCCGCTCTTCTAGGTTTTCCATGGTGGTTTAACTGCAATTGATTCATGAACTCAACTATTAAATTACTATCATATACACAAAACCTCTTTTTAATAATAAGTAACATACTTAACAGTTATCTAGCATTAATTTTCTTCAGTTTGGCTGTCTACTTCTATAAAGCGAATAAGGATAAACCAGGCCTTCTTATTACAATAATACTGATCGTTTTTAACGTTTACGAGCTGTGATAATAGAATATTATTTCAATTCAGCTGACGAGCTCCAAATACGACGAATCACATGTACCGGCTCCTATTACAAGCTATATCCCATTTATTTTGCATCAAAAATTATTTCGGTTAGAAGATAAGATGACCCGATCTGACGTAAAGACAATGTATTTATTTTCGAATATTAATGTGTGAGTTTTATAAATGGGGTCGCTGCTAAACATTTTCAATATAATCCATACAATCAGCCTAATTTTATACTTATTTACTGATTTCCTCGTTGGAAAAAGGAATAACATTTTTGAAATCGTAGAAATTCTTCATGTTTTTTGTGTCCTAGTCTCTATCATTAGAAGTTTTCTCAATGTTCCTAATTTTAAAAGTGGAACTCAACTGTTCCAGAGAATATTATCCATTTGGTCATCAAGTTGTAATTAGTTTATTGCCATTAATTGCAACCAAATGGTTAGTATTCATCATTCTGTTTCGTAGAGCATACACGTATTATGTTCATACAGAAAAATATTTTACATTTTCTAAGTCGTTCATAAAACGGAAAATTTATTTACCTAATGACAGTCCTTCAAATAGTTCTAAAATCTACATATTTTGTCAACAAAAAATATACGTTGTTTCTAGATCTTTATATGAGATGTGATCTCACAATGAATCTTTGCACCTAGGTGTTTTGATCTTTTTAATAATCAAAGAATAGATGATGAAGAACATACATTACCAACCTTATCTTCTGAATTATGATATTTTTCTACCATTAAGAAAGAACTATCATTTCATGAAGCTTAAGATCAGAAACTTAGTTTAGTAGTTATATGACCATGACAAAGAAAGTTATTTTTATAATAAATCTTCAAATTATTTATCACATGACTAAACTAAGTAAACATGAAATAGAAAAATCAGACCAAGATGAAAACTGATACAAACACAGCAATTGTTTGTACAAGGTGGATATTTAAATGGTAATATTTTCATATTTTGTAAACAAGAAACGTAATGACCCTGAGCCATGAAGAAAAGTTTGACATTTAAATTAGTTTAGTTTATTCTCTTTTTTAAATAATATGTCTATTTTGATAAACCAAAGACTTTTCCGTTTTTCTTGTTCAGTGGAACTATATATCACACATACCAAGATGGAAGGATAGAAGTCTATTAATATCAGGTTAATAGTTGAAAAGAAAAATCTAATTATATGTTGACATTAAAACTTTTCGATATGGTCTGTCCTCTCAAATGAGCTAAATGTAAGTGCCCTTGATCGTTAACTAAACTACTATGGGTATGAATATGATTTTTGTTAGTGTAATACCCACCCACGTATAATGAATCCAAAATTCGACCTACTGTGTATACCCCTGGTATCCAGCTTAAATAATCTACTAATGAGTGATGCAAATGCTCAAAACATCTTAGGATTGAACTAGTTTAGTTCATAAACGTCAGTGGTGCCCAAAAGAATCCAGGTACTCAATTCACTTGAAAACTGTTGTGTTTTTTCACCGATAACATCGAATTATGAACGACGATCAATGCCAAACATTCATTGTTTGCCATAGCACATCAAATGAATTGCCTATCATAAGGGTTTACGAATGTTAGTTTGCTGTATATGAACTGTTGTAGCGGTTTTTGAGACGGTGTACCCAATAATTAATTTTTAGTTCTTTTTCGATTCATGTTATTTATTTGAGATAATGTTTATCAAAATGACTATTCAGTATAATACATAGTTATATCAAATAATTCTGATAAGAGCATACTTTGAAAAGAGCAATCAATATGAAGCTATTAATGATTAGGATAAAATTAATAGATCAATAAAAAATTTGGACTGGGAAACAAGTACAATTTTTTAGTGACTAAGAAAGTTTGATTATACTCTCCTTCTGTATGATATATAAATAGTTATCAAAGTACTTGATAACAAATATCCCCGAAACGTAACTTAAATTTGGTGACTCTAGTATGTTTCTCATCCTGAAATATTAACCAAGAATTCAATCACTTTTACAAAATCTCATAGAGAATCTTTTCTCAGCCTTGTTCAATGGTTTTCGCATGAACTGATAAATTCAGTTAAATTATTAGTGTACCGTCAAAGCAACCAATTGTGCTCACTGAAAGTTATAATTTACTGTTTTCATTAATTTATTTTAAAATCTTGCTGTATTTAATGATTAGACTATATTACCTTATTCATACCTTGATATTTAGTGTTTATAGTTTTCGAAAATACAATAAACTAAGTATTTAGAGGTGGAATTGAATGAATATAAAGATTTCATTTCTACTTTACTCTAAATGGTAATAAGTAAACACTATTTATAACCGATGAACAAACATTTGATAGTGTACACTACTTTAGATAATTTGTCATGATAGCTTTGCCATAAACTGAAGTCAACTAACAGGAACAAACTATTCACTGCTATTAGTAAAAATGAGGACAAATTAGTAAATATCCTAACGAGTAGAAAAATGAATTTCTGTCGATTCGTGGCTGAATGCAAGTCGCTTATTCAGAGAATAAGTAAATAACCAAATCCAATCAACATGTAATCCAGTTTTGAAGCATTTTAAACTTGTAAACATTACTCGATCATGAAATGATTTAGTTACTACTCTATTGAGAACACATGAAGAAGCAAAAATTTTCATTTAAAAAAAGGAATTTTTTAACAGGAAGAGTTATAAAATGAACTGTTTTCTAGCTTTTCAGCTATGGTGCTGACAAGCTCTCCGTGATGAATTACTTAGTCAAGGTTTAAACTTTTTGAACCGCTTTATCTTGAACATTTATTTGGGTCAGTAACTTGCGACAAATACCACCGTCGTAATAAAATGTCAAATTGATCAAAACAACGATAGCACTTAGAATACAACTCAAACATTTTTAATCGAAAGAGAAGATATGATAAAATAAGTGGAGAGAAAACATTCATAGAGTTTTCAAGCAACGATTACATTATGAGTAGCGTAAATACAACCCTGTTTAAGTCATGAATTGTTTACGACTTATGATGTGTTGATAACATAGTCTGACGTTTATATCACCAAACACTATATAATATAATGTAAATAAGTTCCTGTAGGAAACTCCCAATCTGACGCACTGTATTGTAGATAATATGCTTGGAAAACGAAGTGTCATTATTTGAATAAAAAAAGGTGGGATTAAATAATCAGTATTAAAATCACCCTCGCAACCTATGGAGTAAAAGATCATGAAGTATCTTTCCGTTTCCAACAAATCGGTGTTATGATTTATGATTCATTAAGTGCATCTTATACACTTTCAGTAACGTCACCGACATAGTTCGAACTAACTTTCCTTTTGACAAACACAGAGCATACACGAATCATATTCCAACCTACACATTTGAATATTGTATGCATGTAGGCAGAAATTTTGTGCATTTGTCGCCTTACACAGTTACTAAAATGTAACTAAGTTCACTTAAACAGCTATCAAAACACTTACCACATCGCTGTAGTGCTTGAACACTATACTGCTTACAGAAATACCATAGAGAAAATTGATATCAACTACACCAAACGTTTGAAAAGATCATTGAAATCCAATACCTCTATTTTGTATTGAGTTGTTGAAAATAAAAAACAGGCTTTTTTATAATATAACAAATGTCAATTAAAGCGGCGAATACAAACAAAAGGCAGTATTTGTAAAAACGATAGATAGGACACAGTGGGTGAATCGGCATGAGGAGTAAAGCACTAATATGAATAAGGAGAATACAACAAATTGTGAACAGAAATAACAAAAATATATAATCTAATTACTTGATTCGCAAACCAAAATTAGAGTTACCATATTCTTAGAAAGAATAAACGGAGTAACTTTTTGAATACAATGTAGAAGGAAGTTGAAAAGCATGATCCGAGCGAAAATTATGCTTAGATAGAATAGAGTTTTGATAGGGATTTTGGTGGGAGAAAATATCAAAAACATCCGGTTGCAGTTAAAGATCCATTATGACATAAATTATATATATAATCGTATGCATACAGCAAATCTAATATAGGCTAAAAAAGGAAGCACCTAAATAAGCTTTAAGCATTGAGCCTTAAAAAGCTCAAAGGCGAGAAGAAAATCAACAAACAGATTGGTTACATTTCTCGGAGAGAAGAAGGTACGAATAGTCAGCAGACTGGTTTCTAAATTTTAAAAGTTTAGGATATGGTTATTGTATTATACATTTGAAATAAACAGTGTGATGTAGAAATAAATTTCAATGAGCACTGGGATAAGGTTATGGGAAGCACTACAATAGAAGAAGAAGAAGAATGAAATCGGATCATTTCATATTCCTTTGTTTTGATAAAAAAAATACTTCGATTGGTTTCGCGAAAACAGTGAGCACCATTTATATTTAGCTGAGGGACTAACAGACGAATTGACAGCAACGAGGATAAATAAATCAGACAACTGTTTTTCCATCTGTATCACTAGGTTTGAGCAAAGGTTTTGATTCGATAACCTAGTAAAACATAAAAGAGATGGAAATATGATGATAACGTTACAAAAGAATTATTAAATATATACATGGAGCGAGCAAGCCGATTTGAATAAAGAAATGTTGAGGTTCACTCTTTTTCATATTCTACAAGAAAGAATAAGCAAGTTATATCAAACTAGTTGAAAGCAGTAAAAACGGCGATGAATATAAAGAATAATAGAAGATTCAACTGAGCATAATGTTGACCAGTGTTACTTCCTTAATGCTTTCAAGATTGAAAAAATAATGAATTTAACTTCTAGTAAAAAAAATTTTAATTTCCATTTATAAATAGAAATGATACTAACAATGGATTTTGAGCAGTAATAATTTTTATTTATATCAATTAAATTAAGATTGGATTAACAAACTCGTAAATCAATCTTAACTAAGAGGGTAGTTATTGTAGTATATTTCTGGTGAAGGAAGGACAGAGGGTGAGTAAATTGTGTATTATACAAAAATGAAACTGTCAAACTTTTGACATAAAAGAAAATGATAGTTTGGAAAACTATTGAAGCATTCTTGATGAAGTGGTCAAGCACTTTTTTAAGTGGTCAGATACAAACAGAACTGAGCTTCAAACAAAAGATTCAGTTAGTTTGTTAACAAATCTGAGTAGGATAAAAAATTAATGAAATGAGAAATGCTAAACTATAAGAACTGGGGCGATTACAAGAATGTTAGGTTGATTATTGTGTCCTTCATGGAATATTTATGTGAAAAGTAATAATTGACTGTAGATTAAAACAAAACGACATTTATTTATTTTGTGTAGGTATCTAGAATGTAATTAACACAAAAGATTAAACCCCATTAAATGTCTGAATTATCAAATGAAGTGATGAAAGCATTTAAATATGATTCGGGTGTAGCTCAGTAGAATTCTACCTGTGTAAGTATTCGCATCTCATTACAAGGTTCCATTTCTTTTACTTCTGTTTATAAAATTGATCACTACTTTATAGTTCTAGTATAATACTGACCTTTTAAAACACATCATTATTAAAGTTCTAACCTGTAGGCAGTAAAAATAATCCACACACCCAACAAAGATGTTAAAATGGAAATAAGAATTTAAATATATGTAACACAGTGCAGGGATGATAAATTTAATAAAATTATTGATATATGCATAAAACGACACTGATATCATCAAGGCGAAAATGCATATTTGAGAACCACATACAGTAAAACGTACGACCATATCTTCAGTCGTTATTATTAAATGTCTTTGTTACGTACATGAAGGAATTCAACTCAAAAGATGTCCAACAGATATTATACTTTTAGAACACCACCCTAGAGCTACATTGGGATAAAATATGATATTGCTTACTGTTAAGGTTTGGTAATTTAAAATAAATACCATGTTAAGTAAAAGGCAATAGTGAGTGGTTTTCTCAAATATTTATCAATAACATAAGTGAAATTTCCCTTTGAAATGTAAACAATTAAACATAATGTTGATGTATAGCAGGTTGAAGAAACCTTTATTTATCTGATGCCTAAAATTCCTTTGATCGTAGCGGTTAGTGAAGAATTAAAGAGATAATACAAAGCGAAAATAATAACCTAGTATTAATATACGATTTGATTTAGATTGACGGTCCTGAACTTATCATAAGTGTGTATAATACCAGCTTCATTCATTGAAATTTCATATTAATATCGATAGAATTAAATCACTTCATATTCGTTAATGCATGACAAACGTAACATAATGTGGAGTGAATAAACATACAGCAGAAACCTTTTGAAATTATGCCTGAATGTCTTAAAATACATTTGATGTCACATACAATTAGAGGCTTGACATTAACTATGTACTAATGAGATTAAAAAGGTTAGCATTCCAATCAAGATTTATTTAATAAAACCATATTAACAAAGTAAACCAGACATATAAAAAAAGATCCTAACTTGGATCGAGATAATTGAATCTTTTACTTGTGATTATATACAAAATCAACGGTAAAAACTTGGTTTAAGAGCACAGCAAAAAAACAATGAAATAAAAGTTTATCAAGCTGTAACGTATGCTCATTTAGAGGTATAGAAATACTACTGGAATTTTCAGAAAGATGAACAGATATTTAAATTTGATAATTAAACTGTTACCAACTTTAAGTAGACATGGTGAAGAAATTGATCAATCAAATAGTTGTATGCTTAAGTTTATTTTGTCCGGATTGGCTATTCACATGGGGGAGCTTGTCCACAGATTATATTTACAATTGGTTACGATCATTTGACCAAACAAAACCATACGTTGTACGCTACTCAATGAATGAATCACGGTACCTAGCCGTTAAGTTTACAGGTAACATCACTAAGCTCGATTCAATGTTACTGAAAATCAACTTTATGGATATTGAACAGCAACTATTCATACCTTACAATAAAATAATTTTGTGACAATAATGAAAATAATAATTTGTAAAAAAAATTTTTCATCGATTATAGGCCCAGGAATTATCAGCCATTAAGATTAATTGCATTGTTATGTATATGTATATATTTATTTACAGAAAAAAATGGAATGGACTTAATAAATTGGTAGGAACCTATTATCATTAGTTATTTATTGTTTTTTGGTATATAGTTATCCATCTACGTTTAGATTAGGAGAAGAACAATCAACAGACAAAGAAAGTGGTTTATTACACCGAATAAAAATTTTTAATAGAAAAATCACGGATCAAATTGAGTTGGGGACAGGAAAACCTGGAACATAAGCACACCGGTTAGGTATATATTAACCAAGAAACTTTTTACCACGCACCAATAGATTGATGAAAGATAAGAATGAATTGTCTATAATAACAGAAACGTACTTAAAGAAGACAAATAATACGACATGTTCAAGCGAACAGATATTGGTATTGTTAGTTAAGTAGCAGAAAGAACCTTACTTCCACCAAAAGGGTGATTGTTTAACGCAAATAATGTTGTCGCCCAGTTATTGAAAGAGTGTGATTCGACAACTTTATGCAAGGTTTATTCGTTAATAAAAAATTGCAGTGTCAAATTCGCTTACGTATTACATAGAAGTTATAAGTATTCTGTTTGGAGGAGATTGCAGGCGGTCGATAACCTCTTCCTATAATCGCGTAAATGTGCAGCGAGTGATAATAAATATATATAGAAGTCAAATAAACGCAAGCTTCCTCAGACGTCACTATTTAAACTTTTACATATTGTTGGTGTACAAACTATCATAGGGTTTATTATATCAATCAGAGTATAATGAATGCCATCAATAGTTGCTTGATAGGAATCTTACTTCAAAATGATTAAGAAGGGTATTTCGAAAATCTGCTGAAATACATTACAATCCTGAATTTATTATTATTATTTCTTTTCAGTTACTTGGATGGTCCGTTTATAGTATGAACTTGACTATATATACTTTCGATAAATAATCAATACTTATGTCAATAAATCATAAGCAACCTAGAACCTGGTACAATGTGCATAGATATGATTAGGCATATAGAATTGTGATTTGGTTGCAATTTAGACAAAATTGATAGACCAATATTCGGTTGACCACAAACAAAAGATATATAAATGACGTAGGCAAGATCAATGAAGAACTAGGGTTTGGATGTGCGATGGGTACAATGATATAACGAATTGTCACGTAATAGAACATATTTCTTCTAAATCAGTTGCACAGATGTACACTAAATGTTACTATAAAATACTTGAATTGATGAATAGTGATTTGATCTATAATTAGGAACTGATATATACACTTTGCTCAGAAACAAATAATTACTGGGTGAGGTTTGTAAAACTGATAAGAAAATGAAGTGACATAAAAGTAACGAAGTATCTGCAACTGACTAATTCAAATTACTTGACTAAATAGCGTTTAATATATCATGCTAACTTACCTGAAAAGATTCGTGTTCTGGTGAAGGTTTAACAGTCCATTGATCAAATGGGCTTTCATCTGTTTTATTACATAACCCAGAATCTGTTGGCATGAATGTAGATTCAGCTTGACCGTGAATAGAAGCACTATCAGTTTTTGTTAATTTATAACGCTTTAATAGAACTGCTATCAAAATGACGGCTGATATAAGTGCAAGTGAACCGACAGTTGATAAAACAATAGGTATTATTTTCTTAGGTTTAAGAATATAGTTTGATATTTTACTTAACGCCCTTTTGTCAGCCACTGCAAACTGAAAGCAAAACAGTAACAACATAGCCGTAAACTCTGAATATAATTCCAAAAAGCAAAAAAGGATGTGTGAAAAAATATGATTTAAATTTCAAGTAGATGTATGGATAAAATAATTCACACCCACCTGTAGTCACTCTAGAGTTACTGCCGCTTCTAAACCCCAGTAGTTGAAAAGGTTGAGTGAAGGATTACCAACATATCCTCCGAAAAAGGAAACTCGACAAAAAAACCTAATCACAAATAATCATCTGAACAATTCAACCTCTCTTCTAACAACTGGACGGCTTATCATACCTCACATGATGGAGACCAACATTCTTCAGAAGTCAGCAGACCGACCACACTTCTGACAACCACAACCACAATTAGCACAAGCATGTGAAGTTTTCACACATTGTAGGTGACAGGGAAGCTCACTCAAACAGCAGTACAAATGAGGAGATGCAATCTGACTGTGTTTCAAACAAGTGGAACTCATCGGACAAAGTCCAGACAAGAACAATAATAAATCACGACTCTAGGGTCATCAAAGTACCTTTAAAAGTGGAGAATTGAAGGGTTACGATGTCTGTCATCCAGTGCTACGTACCCACTAATGACAGCGACGAAGATGATAGAGATCAATTTCATAGGATGCTACAGGCTTTCGTGAGGACATATCCATGGCATATCCATGTTCTAACATTCTAAATAAGAACACCTTGTGCCGAAATATAGGGGCAGACATCATAAGAATGAACAGACATTGGAAAAATTACTAAGATCATCCCAGGACAGAGCTAGGTGGAGATGGTAGGTCGGCAGTAACAGGCTTAAGTACGTAAATTATGACAATGTTCCACAAACTTGTTTCGATAAATAAATAAGTGAAGGGAGCTATTGATCATTTATGTTTTGCGTTATTGAATTGACTGTTTGGTTGATTTAGAAGGGCATATCCATATGAAAATAAAATTTTTTTTGTTTGGATAGTTAATGCTGAAAATTAGTGAACATTGTATTTCCTAATTACATCTGATGGATTTAACAGTAATGGAAACTCGTCGTTTAATAAATGTTCGAACCTATTGTTATGTTTCAATATCCCATTTTTTTAATCACCTTTATAATGACTATAAAAACGTCAAGTAAAAAATGAACCACCAGTAAGGACTATGTGAAAACGTTTTACTGAGTTGAAAACACAACGATTGGACTAATTAAGTTTAGTAAAACTTTATTTTAAAACCTTAAATGGAGCGATCCTGGATTACATGTAAGAAGTTGCGACCCCTTTTTGAACATTTCACAATGAAGGCCGCTTATATAAAAAAACGAACGTTTTCTAGTAGGATATAGAAACCAGTTACCAGTAAATTTTATGAGTTTTGAGAAGAAAACTGTCTTAATGCGTTTCTTATGAAATTGTGGTAACCAACAAGCGAATATATCTAGGTGATCGAACTACTTGATTTATTGAGAGCAGGATGATAAAAATAATTTTAAGAAATTACAAGTGATAACGAATATTGCATCACCAAAACAATTATTGAAAATCTTCATTCCTATCATCACGTACCTCAGTGAACCAAGCTAAGGGGAAGAAATATGGTCCTGCCATATCTTGGTATACTTCATTCCTATACAAAAAAACAAAAGTAAAAAGCACAACATCCATCAGTCTTATTCTTTAGAATTAAAAGAAATCTAAATTTGAGGAAATATGTAAACACCTGGACACAAGCGAAATATGGAGAGAATTAGTAATCTGTTAACCGAAGCCATGATTTTAGTATTGCAACTGTTCTGAAAATCAACGCAAAGTTTTGTGGTGACATTTGCATCATAACGCCATATGAGCTTATTCTGGTCTCTGGACAGACAAATCATGTTGATTTTATTAGTTGTTCTGTAGAATCGTATATCTGGTTATGTTAACTACTGGGTTGTAACCGTCATGTAGTCTTGTTGTGTTATATTTAACAGAATTTAGTTACCTGGCTTTTCGAACTGCTTCAAATTTTTGATAAATGTTTATGTCTTGTTAAATAGGCTTTAATTCGATAACGGATTTTCTACATGCCACACAAAAAGTATACAACTTTTTTCACGCTTATATTGGAAAACATCGTACTTTATATAAAGTCCAAACGGAAATCCGAATCAAATAAGCAAAAACAGTGCTTGGTTGATGAACGTCATGAGAAATCAATAATGACACTCTTCACAGCAAGTCATAGGATGATGGAAGAAAATACAGAGACCTGTAATTGGCGAAAACTAAACTGATGGATATTAATATAGTTAAATACCTATCAACTAAGTACTTAAATACTAATCAAGAATTCATTTAGCACTTCAACAAACAATATCTACAGACAGTTGGCCATGATGAAACAGTAGACCAAATATTTAGAAAGGGTGCATTAAAAGTAAATTTTTATCATTATATTGCACTTTTAAAGTTGAAAGTGCACCACAAAATAGACCAAGATTACGCCCAAACCATATGTAAATTTACATTTCTCCAGGATTTTATGTATTTCGGTGCATAATCTAGTCATATTAATTACTTAGCGTAGTGGACTTCAGTCTAGAAGTAAATGATATTTAAGCATGAAGTTTGAAAATGAGACTTTTAATTAATTATATTCAAACAAATTTTATTGAAAATAAGTAGTGTATGAAAGAAAAAGCATTATAGTTTTCTTAATATGACTAAAAATAACTTACAAACCGCCATCGTTTTCAATGTATGCATTAATCTGAACCTTTTTAAAAGCTTCCAATACAAATCCAGTATTCTATGGTGTATTAAGAAAAAGCAAAAAGAATAAACATAATGTTTACATACTTATTAAAATAATTTCAATTTAGGTCTTATATTGTAGCAAGAACAATATGTATGTCTATTTATCATGAAGTGTGAATATCTCAAAAAATAGGAAAACTATCGCATGTTACCAATTTATGGTAAATTTCTGATTTACAAAATAACTGGATATGTAAACTTCGAATCAAAGAACTTACAATGTCAACCCTAATTATGTAATACTTATAATAAAACATCATAACCAGGTAGAAAAAATAACATATACTTAATAGGTTTTGATAATGATTGGTTGAGACATGACTATTATACTCAATAAGTCGACTGAAATGGATAGCAATAAATTTCAGACATGTGTAAATATATAAGGAAGATCACAATTGATTGGTCACTGGGTGGCGATCAATGTCATGCGTGTCTAGTCCTTATTAGTGCAGATCGAATGCTATCGATCATGTTGCAATGTGGCCACCAGTCTAGGTGACTCGACACTGCGGACTAGACACGCATGATATTGATTGCCGCCCAGTGATCAATCAATTGTGATTACATCTCAGTCCTACAGGAGGTCGGTTGCGGCTCGGATAACTCAATGGTAACGTCTCTGACTGTGAAGCTGGGTGACACGAGACCGAATCCGCCAGAGAGCACCAGTTCCCTCAAGATTACAGGTACACCTTGCTGACGAATGCCAAGTAGCACGAAACCCTGGTCCAGGGTTTCCTGTCGACTACCTCCAACCACCATCTAATATAAGGAAGAATTAATCTCGCAAGCTAAGCATCAGTGAGCACACAAATGACTTATTGGGAAGAGTATTTAAACTTTATTTGGTTCTAATTATACCAATAATGATCGTCTTCAAAAACCTAGAACGCAACTAACTGCCACGTAACTAAAGATTCTATAACTATACGAACACAGTTATATATCAACCAAACTATAATGAAAACATTTTCCTTAACTGAGATAGTATCAAAATTGGAAATAAGAGCTGCGAACTGTAAACAGCCAACGCCAAAACGAAGAACACGATCAGGCAAAGTCTGTTTTTATCACAAGGTATCAGTTAATATGAGCGAGAAAATTAGGAAAGCAGACGAGTAACAGATGAAATACTCTGTATGAACTCTCGTAAATTGTGACATATGTGAACTGCTTCTAGACAGAACATGTTTATTAACATTTTAGTTGTTTATAGATATTAAAATATAAAATGAATTTCGTCATTCTCAACCTAGCACTAGTACAGTATAGGAGAATGGTAATTTAAGAAGATGAATTTAAAGCACACCAGGAAGAATAAGTCAATCAGTGAGTTATACAGTTTGAAGATCAGTTCAAGTAGTTAACTAGTAAAACGAAATATCAACATATGTCACTCACAGGCTCAATAAGTAATACAGTAGAATCAAGCTTTTCATCAGGTTTTCTTATCCCATCCATAGCTGCCCGAATACTTGGATCAGCTCCCAAGAAATGTGGCTGACAAGCAAATATAGGGACCGAAATCTTAGGGTTCGAGCAAGGTGACAAAGGTATCATTCCTGTTGGAGGACAGTCTGGGCCGGCCTTCTTCTTCGGACAGAATGCAGCATTCAGCGGATTAACAGTGGCGTTCTGAGATTGTTCGGGGTGGGACGCAAATCTAAGTAGCTGGAAATGAAAAAAAGACATATGTGAACTAGCAATAATGCATTTCTTGTTTTGTAAGTACTTTTAGTAATATTTTACGTGACAATAGTAATAATAGATATTTACTATATCTAGTATACAGTGTTTGTTCGCTACGGATCCCAACAACAATGTGAAATGTAGAGTTCAGGAGTGATAAAAGTAAAATCAAGATCCAATAAAATGTATATCGCAAATGACGTTTACCTGGAGGTAGAGAAATAAAAACAAATCCCTATATATGTTGCACGATGATAGATTTCTAAGTCGACTACAGTAAAATAAATGCCTGCTAATTTACATGCAATTTAAAACTTCCAATACTGAGAAAATTTCCAAACATAAAGATGATAATTCAGATTAGGAAAAGTACTTTATTCTCACTTCTTTATTCTAACAAGCCGGTTCAACACAAGCGAATTGATTTATTCAGCCTATCGAAGCTTTGTCACGAAATTCTGATGACTAGTCACGGTTTCATGTAACTTCGCATGCTTATCATGAAACGCTGAGGAGTCACTCGCCAAACACATATAATCCATAGTAGGAAGTAATTCAAATATCTCACTGAATATCATTTTCATTTTAAGGCTATGGATTTCATCCACTAACTAGCAGTATATATATATATATATATATATATATATATATATATATATATTACTTGTAACACCATCAGTGAGAACCTTTATAAAATGAAAATGAATTAAAATATGAACTGTCGATACAAGTCATTAAAAAAATACACACGCTTTAGAAAAAATCAGATATCTTAATGAACAAAAGTAGCAATTTTTTATGGACATATGATTCCCATTTAAACACTAATTCTGTTACAATCATTTGATGATATACTGTAGTGTGTAGACGATTTATTTTCTCCAACATAAATACGGAATATGAATGATTAAAATGATAAACCCTAAATTCGATTACGCAACTCTAAATAGTGTGATGAAATAGACAAAAAGTTATCATCATCACAGAAATATTTACCAATTCGCATTTGCTTTGGTCTCCGAAAATTCCCTTTTACCCTGCATTCTCACGTCACTGTATAAATGATCCCAGTGTGGGAGTGTGAACCATTTAAGTAAAACATCAATATAGCAGCATATAAATCCAATGACTGAGATAAATATAAAAAATAAATCAATGAAATTCAGTAACCACGATTGACCGATTCGCTACGCTAAGCCATAGATATTACGTGTGTGTATGTGTGAGCGCATAAAATAGTCTAGTTGATTAACTAGAGATAACGGCTCATGGAAAATCTTAAGGATCTCATTAAAAACGATATCTATCCTATAGTATAAGCAAAACGAAGTTTTGAATGAATAAATCTAAAAAATTCAAGTTGTACTATATTATAGTCTGACAGTCAAGCGAATTCAGTGTAAACAGTTAACCAACAAAATTTGTAAAAGGTTCTAGTTATTTGTCTTTTTGAATTTAGTGATAACAGACTGTTAAGGAAACAGCATTTACATTCTCTTTCTATTTGATCAGCAATATGCACAAAGTAAGCACTTTTGAATATTGAATTTCTAAAACCATTTAGTTCAAGTTTCTATAAGATTTGGTGGTTTGACTTAAACATTCGAAAAACATCTTTAACCACCCTACCATATTAAGTATGATTGTAATTTGTCAGATTTATCGTCAAGTCAAATTCAAAATGTCTACCAATCTTCATTGATACTTTGTGTGGAACAACTTAAGTTCACGCAAAAGGTTTTACATGATTCTGTTTTATCATTTCTCTGAAAAGTTAAAAGAGTGTTTAAATGTTAAATGTTCTTGCGATACACATTCCTTTTCTTTTTACACAATCATTTGTCGCCTCGTTGACAAAGAGTCTAGGATGAGGCAAGGAAACAACAAAACAGTTATTCTATTTTGACTGAGTTGAAATGTCTTTTATGCTGAGTAATATAACATAGAACACTTAGCAGTGTTATTAACACATGCGTAGCACACACTCAGTCAATGTTAACAGGAAAATGTAAAGTATTCATTAATGTGGCTAATTTGAGCTAGCTGAGATTGAAACATAATAGGAACACAAATTAAGGTCTTCATTGAGAACTAAAGATTACTTTCTAACACCCTATTAGAAGCAGATAATCAGTCGTCGTAGGTACACAAGACAGAATTTAAATTTTATCAGTTTTGTTGTGGTATCCATTCATTTAATTTAGATCATAAGTGATTACCTGGATACTAGATTTCTAAATTTTGAAATGTATTTTCTCTGTTAACTCACAAATCGACGCCGAAGACACATTCCTACAACGGTGTTAAGACAATGAAATATATAATTGTATCCGTAACAAAATGCGAAAGGGCTGTGGGAAAAAGATTTATATTTTAGTTAGGATATTAGAGAAAATAATAGAATACACACAAGTAGAAACAAATACGAGAATTATTGGACACTTTTACAGTATATCTGATATTCTACTCGTGTAATTATTAGATACCGATACTTACATGTACACTACTGTCATGAGTTGCAGTCGCCCAACCCACAGCATCTGAATGAAAGGATCTGCAGAAATCTGGCACAAAAAAGGATATTCGAGAAGACATTTGTAATCCTGGCCGTATAACACTCCCATCTGAAAGTTAAAAAAATTAGTAGTAGTAATATTTGATATAGGAAACAATTGAGAAATTTCGTTTTCCAGTTTCAAAATTCTCAATATTCATCAGAAAGATAAAATTAAGTCACAATCCTAGCTGTTATGGTAAATTAATTAGAAGAATTATCAGTTATATGACCTACTTTTGTGGTAACTGACATAATGCGCTAGGGAAAATAGTGGCACGAGATATTTAAACATATTTTGTTCATCTCAGTTGACGACGCTTTATCTACGATTAAAATGATTCACCATGTTTACCAAGCTCGTCCGCTTACTGCTCTTTGCTTTCAAATTAAGCATCTCAGTAAGCATTAGGTTTCATATGTTTACTCTAGTTAGTATTCTTTAGCAAGGTTGTATTGTACGGGATGGGGTTACTGACTTCATGCCCAACTCTCCTTTACTCGGATGTGGGACCGGCACTAGAAGAGTTACAGTGGAGAAAGGTCGGAGAGTGTATAGAATTGGAAGCACACAGCAAAAGGATGGAAACAACTGGAAAGGATTGCCCAGGATAGAGTTCGATCGAGAATGCTGATGGGCGGCCTATGTTCTTCCACGAAGAGTAACAGGCGTAAGGCATTAGGGTATTACTAGTGTAGGAAACGGTTGAAGGTTAGGGGCGGCAACACAAAAATATGACATCATTCCTTGAAGTCATTACTTTGTTGAGATCCGCGCGACTATCGTAACCAATCGTTGGTGACTCAGTGAAATAGCTCAGAATCGATCACAATGACATAGGTGTATACACTTTCTATCTTCCTTTAAACCATGAGATTAAAATTGCTTTATATCTTTTCTTCTACGAACTGATTCTTTCTTCCTGTATTATATCATTATATGCTATCTTTCTTTCATATATTAATACCATTGAATTAACTATTTCTATGGATTTTTTGTTCGTGTTGTGGTAATGAGGTGTAGCAACTTGGACCGATGTATAGATGCGTTTGGTCCTACGTTGTAGCTGACTGATTGACATTAGGATATTTACATGCTAAGTTCGGGAAATTTAAATATCAACTTGAAAATTTAAGTTTTTTTAACAGCTGTTAGTGTGCATATTTTAAGAGTTGATTAGGAGATAATCAAGTTTATAAGCTGTACATGAGATATAAAAACGCTATTCGAATATTCATAATGATGAAAGTGTAAAATCAATTTAATATTCAGCTAGAAACTATCGTACCTGTGCCATTTATCATATTAGCGTAATCCGTACGCCAATAGTTCAAAGATCTGAATAAGAACAAGATAAAAGCATAATATATATTATATTACATGAAATTATTATCACATATAATAAATTTAACGACTGTCAGAAATGATGTACAGCTATTTACTGAGTGATTTTCAATGAGATTACTGATTATATGATCATCTTTTGAATAATCACAATGTAAGTGGAAAAAACTCACTGAACTATTGACACGGAAGAAATAATCATGCGTTAATTAGATTTCTATATTGTTGTTGATGTGTATACAGTTTGTAGCTTTTTCAGAGTAAAATCACCTTAGGAAAATAGATATCATATTAATAGCAATATTCTCAAGAAAGACCTATCACAAATATCTAATCACTTAGAACGCACACATTATATATCACTTCAATAGTAATAACAGAAGGTTAGGCTACGATCATTAAGTGCATACTATTTTTTTTTACATAAAATGTCTTCAGAGTTAAGCACTGAAAAGATGTATATGCACACATGAAGCATATTATTTGAGATGTAAACTAATAACTTCTAACTGCCTAATCTTGAAGAAATCTTATAGATCTTAACAGTAGAGAGTTACAAATTAGGCAGAACAAATATTGAACATATGTATTTATTTATTTATAGAACTGTATTGTTCTACTTTTTTCACCTTTCAATCAAGCAATATTCTCAGGCTGTCCCAGCTGATATAAATAGACTGTATGGAATACCCAATTGAATTAAAGAAAGTTGATTCTCCTAATTACAAAGCTATAGATATAGCTAATAAAGTTACTGATACATTTCTATACATATACTTACGTTACTCCATTGTATTGTAGCACTTTCCCGACGTTTGAAATATTGTAAGCACCGGTATCAATCACGAAATCAGCAACTTTTGTACCATTGTTCTAGAGGTGAAAGAAGGAAACAAGTGACCTTAAAATTGCAAGTCACAGCTTTATGATAATTAGGGCAAATATAACTCATTAAAACATACTAACTAATTGGTTCATCATTAATTTTACAGATATGTAAATAAAATAAAACATTTTTAAAGACTTCATATTTGAAAAGTAAAAATATACGCATGAGATTCCAGTAACATAACTGTTTAATTTGTACATGCTGAAGCAATTGAGAGTACTCTTAGGATTCTGTTCTTAGAGTTTACTGCATATCTTGAGACTGAACTGAGATGTTCATTGGTATAATAACGTTTAGAAGTAACAAATTCACACAGATTGAGAACTTTTTTATACCTATGGGGCACCGAAGAGTCGTAATATTAATTTCATTGTAACCTGTTGACATAACAATATCGTTCAGGATTTTTTAAGTTACAGTAGGTCTTATCGATACCAATAAAGCGTTATGTTAGTAATATTTTACGCTTAGTGAATAAGAAATAGTTAAACGAAAAAATAGCCTATGGGGAAAACAAACCTACTTTGCAGCTATTCGTGTTTAGCTTTATGCATACAATTGGTGTTCGATTTAAAATAGTTATAAAATCATGTATTCAATCTGATAAATCAAAGTGAAATATTGACGATGATGTGAATTTCCATGCTCAGCGTTAGACATATTGTAATAGTTAGTTAGGAAAAACACTGATTATCACCTTTTTTTCTAGATACCGATATCGATAGTTGCGTAATATTCAGTTTATTCTTTTTAAAAAGTTTAAGAAGTTAGAGTATTTATTTTTCTATCAGGTGAAAGGTTATTATTCCAAAACCTTCTTTATAATGTAGTAACCACGTACTAAATTAACTGTGGTAACTGCCACAAAAAATAATTTTATTGACTATTATAGTCCAGAACTATTTATACGAGGGATTTTGAAAAAGAGATTTCAACTGATTCAAGACCTCGGTGGTTCAATTTTTTTAAATAATGCAACAAAAGATAACTAATCATTTACTTACAAAATATGTAAGCAATTTTGAATAGGTGAATCAACAAAGTAATATGTCCTTTCTCATACAATGAGTTGATATTGTTAACATCCTACACAGGTTCCTCTTTTTATGAAAGTAATTCTTCAACAGTAAATAAATACTGCTGTCACTCAATGCTTATCTACAGTTTCAGGAATAGAATATAACTGTAATAGATATACGTACATATTAAATATCTTGGAAAATATTGACTATAATGTTTAACAGCAGTGTAAAATCTTCGGGTATTGCAAGTCTGTGGTTCGATAATGTGCATTTCTATAAGTTCTCAAAACAGCTGTTTTGTTCTCCTGGTTTTGGACGTCCATCGAAAGCTTGGATTTTATTTAGAAAACATCTTAAAACTGAGCAATGCTTCGCAAACATTAACTAAGACACTCCAGTTACTCGATAAGTATCGTTAGTCTGTATTTTATAAATGTTTACTTATGTATAATTATTTGCCTCAGCATCCTTTGGATGACAACAAAACAGCTGTGGTTTAACTTTGTTATTATTCACACCCAACAACGTATTGATGAATAATTTTTCACACCTCCCGTCTTCACACTCCTCAAACCTGTCTGTTGCCTAATAATATTAGTGATTTTCAAAATGTCATAATCAGTTATTATTGTTGTTTATAGATGAATATAAAAGTCAATTATTTGTGCAGCGATTGGCATTTTAGTAGCGTGGTTACAGCCATATATAATATGTTTCTCAGCATTGCTGTCTTCATATATCTGGGCTAAAATAAAGTGTGCATCCAGATATACTGAGCACATATTTCGATAAGACCTAAACCAATAACTACTTTTTTAATATTTACAGTTATACTCTCAAAATTGATTGTTAGGCGTAAAGCAAAAAAATCCAGTCGTTTTAATGTCAACCGCACATGTGAATCTACATAAAGGTTACGATAAGCAGCACAATCATAAGACTGCTAAATTCAAGGAAGCACATAACAAGTAATTCGCTGCGTTTAGTATGTCATTTGTTTTTAAAGACATAAGTAGACCACAGTGGAACGAATTAGGAATTTCAGGATATGAAAACTAAAGTGAATGTGACCTACACCAGTTTTCTACATATATATTAAGTATAGTAATAATCAAAGAGTAGGTTCAAAATACAGAACATCTAGCAGTGTATAATAAATAAAATCAAAATTTGTAGGTAAAAGCAAATTACCATAGCCATTAAGCCAGCACGATCTGTGTCACAAACTTTAGAAGTTAGACAAACAGACATCAGTGGATCTTGGTAACCCCAGATGATTTCACGAGGTGTCTTTGAAATGAATGCGTTCAACGTGTATAAAAAAAATATCATTTTGTAGTATCCCGGAAGATTATTTATGGCCTACAGTAACACAAAAAAAGTAAGGTTGATATGATAAAAGGAATGTGACAAACGAAAATTTTACAAGCGTTTCGCTGGTTTGATCACCTATTTCTGAAACTTTCAAAGATGAATGCACAATAATTAAATTTCGGAGAAAACAGATGATAACAACTAGAAAAACAGAAGTAACAAATTATAGGTACAACAGAATTCTTAGTAGTTCAATAATTGTCTTCCAAAGGTTAATGTTAGCTGCTTAAAGCGAGTTAACTGCACCAGTAAATAATGAGTCACCGGATAACAATCAGTCAGCTTTTCCACAAACTATATGTGTCAAGATAGATAATAACCAGTCTTGAGTTAAAATATTTCCATCAGTGCATAAACTTACATAATAGTTTTTATTCATTGGATTCGTTATGATTTTAAGTAAATGAACTAGTCGATATGACAAACGACAAGCGTAAGGATGTACAACCATCTAGAAAGATACAGTTTATTAATCAACAATCAGTTCATTTTGTTAGTATGTCAAAGTAAAGTTGTATTGAACCTTTATAATGCTCTTTCTCCAGTTGTCCAGTATCTCCTTAACTTCAGTTTCACCTTGGCCACAACCGGGTGACCTGATGCTATGTCAGCTCATATCCTGATTTTCACGACTTTCATTGACCTTCTGAATATTTTACTGATGCAAATATGATTGATCTGATTCTTTGTAGTGTGATCCGGTGTCACCCAGGTAGCTTTGTGTCAGAATATTGTGCCGCCTTTAACCATTTTGTTGAATGTGCATGTCTATTCCGTCCCATGATATATTGATACCCGGTGTTATCCATTCCGACTTTGGCGTTTAGGTCTCCCATCAGGATGGTCAGGTTTTTTCCTGAGCAATTCACTATGATAGACTGCAGCGTCTCATAAAACTGGTCTTTAGCATCGTCGTTGCTATCACTGGTGGGTGTATAACATTGGATAACACTCGTTAAGATTCCCTCCTTCTTTGTTTTGAACGATGCTTTGATGATTATGGATCCATGAGATTCCCTATCCTATAAGTACTTTACATGTTTCTTTGGATAGCATCAGTCCAACTCCTTGTGAGTGTGTGGCTTTTTTTCTCCATGATCAGAGTACAACAGCATTTCACCTGAATCTAACGTTTTCAGTCCAGCTTTGTTTCAGTGGATTTCATTGAAACATCAAGTTGTATCTGTTCATTGCCGCAGCTATTCGACTGGTCCTTCCGATTTCCTATATTGTCCGAATATTCTATTTACCTATATCGATTGTTGTTCTGGTTGTTAGAAGGGGCATCGGCCTTGTGAATTCCGAAGAATCTCGGCTTTCATCATGTGGCGTCATAATTTTTCTTTCAACTCGGAGGGCAGAGTTTAAATGGTTAGCATTTTTGAGCAAGGTTGTTTTCTACGGGATGGGGTTGCTAACCACATGCTCAACATTCCTCCTTTACCCGGGCTTATGACCGGCAGTAACCCTTGAAGGGCCATAGGTAGAGTTGTACCATTTTAAAACAAACTTTAAATGAGCATACTTTGTTAAATTAAATAAGTGGCAACACATAAAAATAAAGTTGTAACATAATTAATTTAAAGAAAGTGTTATGAAACTTACTACTGTTACCAGATCAAGACTTGTAACGATTCCCTGATCATCAGGGCCGACAGAGAGGTCAGGTTGAAAGTAGTAGAAAATTCTGTGTTGATATTTTACAGTTTTCGGAGGAGATTCTCCAGAAAATTCTACATTGTTACGTTGACGATCCTCGCTGTATTCAAAATTCAAAAGTAATCATTATCGTCATTGATGCCATATTAGATAAAGGAAACGCTACGCACGAAAAGACATTAAGTAAAAGTTTGAAATCTCGTTAACCATAAAGAATATTGACTTGTAGAGTAAATTAACTATCAAACAAATAAACTAACCGATAAACGTAAGGGCCAACTTCAGTAAATCTTGGTCGACCACCACTTAGAACTTCTTGAGGATTAGTCAAATTATACAGATATATGGAAAAATACACAGGGACACTTGGTGATTTCCAGTTATCAAAAATTTCACTACCGGGTAAAATAGCAAGTTTCTACAATATACAAGAGAAGTAAACAAATTCATAATTCGGCGAAAATACTCAGTAGTTAGATTCTTAATTATGCTTTTGGATATACAAATGTGAGGTCGTCAGTGAATAAAATTGATTACACTGTTAACAAGGGTAATTTGACGTGGAAAATAAGATTCATCTATTTTAATTTGAGACTAGTATCAACAAGTGTGTCACTTAGAGGTATTCTATCACAGAGGGGAAATTAATTAATCTAAGCTCTAAACTTATGTATGCTAGTAGTTTATTTTAAAATATATTATGATACCTCGCAAGTGACGTTAAGGGAAAATGTAGCAAAAAGATATAAAAAGAGAGGATTGAGTAATGGGAGTAATTACACAGAAACTCATGTCGCTTTTGCTGCTTTCTTATAAAAGACAAGTAATAGTAATAATAATAATAAACTACAAATACTATTGGTTTCAATTCTGAATCCTATCATGATTTTTTAATTGAACTGCATGAAGGGTAAAGCACTTCACGCATCTATCCTTCAGATGACGGCAGTCATACAGTAACCACTGATTAGTATTTCTCAGCTAGCCCCGAAGTAGATATGGTATTTGCTAGAGGTAAGATAGGATTTTAAACAGATTTTAGCTGTGTAACTCACTTTATAGAAAAATTCAAACTATATACAGACGTTTCGCCTAAGGTAATATAGGTTTTATAATAGAAATACCATTCCTAACCATTTCTCTCCGTACAAAAACAAATGTCTGGAAAGATGTGGATATTCGTGTATAATATAAAAAACAAACCAAAAACTCACCCTGGAAATCAGACTAGCAAATAAATAGTTGAATATAAATAACCCGATTATACACATCAGGGACAAGAAAAGCAATGCAACTGTGGATAAAATCAAGCAAATACGATTAGGTTTCGATATACGAGCCATTATTTATGTGCGGGTAAATTGTTATTGAAGAAGAGTTTATCAGTAGTAATATGTAAAATCCAGTGGAATGTAAGCTGCGAATCGATGATATAAGATACCAAAACAATGAACTGAGCGGATGTATGTAAAAGAATCAAATAGCTGTTGAAAATATCAAAGTCATATAGACGTGAATTTACGGACAGAAATTTCTGTAGACCTACAAGAGTTAACAATAAAATTTAAAACAATTAGTTAATTCTTGATAAGTATGGATAACGCGATAAGGTGAACATTATTAGTGTAATACATTTCGAATAATCTGATCACGTAAACTTGTTAAGAATATATCTGAAAAAAACAAAAGGTCAGCTAGACAAATCGGAAGGTAAGGAGAAACAAAGACAATAAATGAAACGCCATTCTGGATAATAAATCAATGTTGGCAGGGTAGGCTTAGAGTGGAAACAAACTGTTTTCGAACATATAAAGAAGGATAGAATTTTCGTATTGCATTCGAAAGTAAGGTGCGAAAAGCTTATCAGTTTAAGGATTCACAGAAATCAAAAACAACAAATGATTAAAATTCTAAGAAGGGTTACACATTTGTTTATTTCAATACAGCTAGAGAAAAACGACCAAATCATGGATTTGATATGGACATTATGTATTAAGGAAACACCAATAAAATGTTTTGTGAGTTTTATAGGAATGTTCAGCTCAATTACTTGTAAAAGCATGATACACACAACAAAGTAGTGAGGCTATGTAGACCAATGGACTTCAAAGTCTAGAATATATACATAAATATTTATTTTATTTAAATGTAACCAATATTTCACCAAGCATCAAGTGTCTCGATTTTGTTACCGGTGCGAGTCTGTTGTACAAATTTTAACGGAAGTGTATGCAATCATCAAATGACCCTTATGGTCGGAATAGTACTTTAGTTAAAAACAATGGGATATAGAACAGCAATGATGTAGCAAACAGAAGCAGACTAACGCAATATACTCTGATAAACAGCCTAAAACAAATTTATTACATGGGTATTAACATCATAATAAACATTTGTCTTGTAATATGCAAATGTAGACACTAACAAATACATTTTTATATAGATATCGGAATAGAACAGTTCAAAAATATGGACTGGATTACAAAATTGTATATTTTTACTTATGTTTTATTAAGTGGGGAAATGGTCGATAGGAATTATTTTCGTGTATCTGAGATATTCACCAGATTGCTTTTCAGTGAGTAATGAACTTCAAGATGATTGTCTTATTTTGTTTTCTAGTGAGCATGCTGTTGACAAAATTTTAGGGAAAACCAGGGTGGAAAGGAATTTTTCTAAACAGAATGCGTAAATTATTAGTAGAAAAGCTCAAATCTGCATAAATCCATTATCCATAAAAGCAAATGAGTGATATCGCTAACAGTATTATAAAAATCATTCAGTGTTACAATTACATATATCCATACAACAGAACACCTTATTCACACAATTTAGTTTTAGTTAAAATGAAAAGTAAAACTAGAGGAAACCTGGATTTATTTACAGAGGAAAAGAGAAAAATAACTATTATATAGGTCAAAAAATAATGAAAAAGACTATCAAACAAAGTTAATGAAAATAACAGTATGAAATTGTGGTATGTTAAGTAGAAACTGACTTTTGTCTTAATCGTTTGAATTTTACACTAGCGTGGTATTTACAAGGCTATGACGTATGCTCTGAAGAGTATAGTATAATTATATATATATATATACCAAATAGAAGTAAAAATTGGCTTACAAGCAATGAAAGTTCAGTAAGATCCGTGAGACAGAATTTGCTAATTACACAACCTTTTTAAATATTTTCTACTAAAAACCTGAATAAAGTAATAATAATAATAGCGCACCTAGTGTTTTGAAAAAATCAAACACTAAATATTTATTTGCTAAAATCATGTGCTACAAGAATGTTGTGAACAAAGTATAAGAGAATCCGATGGTAAAAGCAAGACATGTTAATAACAGTGATTACATTGTCAGTAATTGAGTTTATGTAGAAAGTGTCAGCATTCAGAAGATGTATATATACATATTTAGAGAGTGAAGGAGAAGATTCTGATAAGAAGACACTCTACTAGGTAATGAAAATAAGTATATCTGCGTCAACCTAATTTTTATTCATGAGATCTGGATGATGTAGACAAATGTGATATTTCTTTACCGAACTTTAAATACATTCACAGGTCTGCATACTTCGGACAAAAAAGGGATAAAAAATTAAGGTATTCAGGGAAGAATATAAAAGATAATTTCCAATATATAAATAAATACCAAAAATAACTAAGTGGTCAATATAACACGTGTGTAAGCAAAGAATTAAAGATATTCGGTTTTGAGTTTTATTATCCAGAATCGCTGTCAATTTCTATCAAATAAATTCACTGATAAAGCCTAAAGCCAATCCTTAATAGACGCATATATTTATATAATGGTTTTTTTCTGTTCACACTGTATCCAACTATTTGTATTTCAGCACTGGAAACAATTGAATCATCGTCAATCTGTTCGAATAGTGGATTTTTCGTCATATGATTAAACAACGTAAGACTTTTCATTGTTCTAAGTAGATTACAAGACTAATAACAATGATTTTATGAAATCGATTGTTTACGAACAAAATAATGTTTATAAAGACTTGGAAAAATACTCGAAAACAGTAGAATGAATACAATTGTAAATCTAATCCATTGCACGCATTGTCTGAAATAAATATTTTGGTAAATTAAAATGAATTTGACAATATTCATACAATTCTAATCCTGCCCATTAGCCTTTCATAATCATTGATTGCATAACAGATATAATTGGGAATAGATAAACACTTATTTCAAATAAATACCCAGTTGTCTCACAAGTTTTATTGATTATTCTAACAAAATAAGCATTAAAAAAGAACCTACTATGAATAATGATTGATGTTTAGGCACATGTGACAGCTTCATTTAATCTTAATGTTTGAAAACACCAGTTCAACTAAACATTCTTGACACCGATGTAATTGAAATAGATTATTTATCTGAGTTATGCGTACATGTCATATGAATTGTATCAGTCATTGATTAGGAATAATGTATTAAGGATTATTCTCAACTAGTTTTTGATCGCAAATGATAAAAAAACGACGCATCCTTTTGCTAACCAAAATATTGAAAAGATTTAGTAAACTAGCTTTCGACGTATGCTCCTGTTAAAAAGTAGGATATCAATGATGGTTAGTTTTCTTGTGAGCACTTTTCTATTTGGTAACGATTAACGTCAAAACAACCGTGAGTGAGAAAGTAACTTTTGTGAAAGTACCTGATATATGAGCATATATACATATATGAAATTTTGCTTCACAATTGCACCATAGAGTGGCAGTTTAGATATTATTTCTACGCAGTTTGTGGACTTTCATTTATGGCGAACGATGAGTATTGACAAGTCGGTAGTCGTTCGAATAATACGGATTGTTTTAACAATTTCCAACCCAAAAATCTAGCAAATATACCGGTTCACATAATTCAAGATTTTCATTTTACCCTGAAAAGCTATCTCCCACAATTATCACAGCAAACCTTTATAGATAAAAAACAAAATGACCGGTAGTGACCTTAAATAAAATCTATGATTAAGACATGTCGTATATTTGATTAAAAACAAAGTAGCAAGTCTAGTTCTTCGAAAAGTTAAATGTAGAATTAAGAGGTTCAGTAAATTAGTTTTATTACATAAAGTGACTGACCATAGCGTTGGTGTGAACAGTCTTAACTGATATGGTTCAAGATCTCTGTCGTTAAGGGTTATTTGATAGCACTTAAAACTACTGACTTTAGTCAGACAGTAAAATTAAGGGACCAGTTATTAATGTTTGTGGAATATTACATTTTGCGCGATTAGGGAAGCTTGATGAAGTAACCGGAAGACGTATCTAACCAATTCACTAACGGACAAACAAAATAAAAATGTATATTCATCAAGGGTTGAGCTAAATCTCCAAGGGTACATGAAACAAGGCTATTATTTCATTCAATTTTGCAGTATAGGTAAGTGTTGTTGTATATTACCAATTAATGTCATAATATTCAATAAGTCAATTAACAGTATAATAAATCAATCGTTAGCATATTAAAACAAAAATGAAGTTATCCAAAACACACAAAAATGGTAGTTAAATGAATTAAAATTTATGTGTTTTATAGGTTAAAAACAAATGTTCATTTTCATTACTCCCTGATAATTTACTCAGTTTAGTCATTTCCTGAATAGTTAAAAGAAAACCGACAATATACCTTGTAACTATCAACTTACCCGTGGAGAAAGAATGATTACTTCGTCGTTCTCTCAATAAGTAGTTCGCGATGAGTGCTTTATACATCTAGATCATAGGGGTGAAAAATTAGTCTACTATGATAGGTTGATTAAAACTGAACGTAATTCAACCAATTAGAAATCAGACAAGTCCAGAACCTTGAGAATACAAGGCTAGAGAAAAATCACGCTATGGGTGAAAAGTTGAACTATTTGATATGCGTTTTTCTAGACACTTACCAAAGGTCATTGAAACAATGAACTTAAGCTTCTTTTAAATTGAATGTTTGTCAAAATGAAAAGTACAACACGAAAGAATAGAAAATGAGTTATTGTTTAGTTATCTTCGAGTGTCAACCTTTGAAGACATGAACAGAAAGCATAAGTTTTACGTGAGCCTAACTAAAATAGATATTCTTATTACAAAAGCACATATAGAAAGATAATTAATACTATGTTCAGCCGAACAATGAAGAATGACAGCTCAAATTTATCATTTACTAAAATACAAAAGAATATTCTTGTCAATAATCTAAATATTCAATACTTGGTAGTCAAAAGTGCCAATTCAGCATCTGATTTCATGAGCATTACTTTTATTCAAAGTACTACAAGTGAGATAGCATTTATTTAATTTCAACTCAGTATTCTCTGCACTGCACTTCAATAAACTCGATTAACATAAATAAATTTATCGTTGCCTTTGTTGTTTGCACTCCTCCAAATATCTATCTCTTTAGTTTGCTGTGCATATCTGTGGGTATAACCCTCGTAAAACGGTTCGTATGTCTCATTTTACAAATGCGATATTCGCATTTCATTTCTAAGTTACGATTTCCATCTATATACCGTTTGGGAAAGACGTCTACGCGAAATTGTTAGCGCTTTTTAAAAGTTGCAAACTCTAGGATTCGACTAATTTCCAAGAAGACTGCAGCCCGATACATGTCACTCGTAGAGTTGTGAGTATATGGAACCCTTGTGCTTAGTATCTATCTGTTTAAACCTACATAATCACTTCATGCTCTGATCTCATCAAATGTTTCTATATGCAGCACATCCAAGATAAACGACCATGCCATGCTAGACGGGGAAATTGTGGCTAGTTCCAGTAATTTTTCAATTTTTTCTTTTTGTAACCCTGAGCTGTTTAGGTCTAAAGTTTGTGTCTTTTCTGAAGCTGGTGGCGTTTTTGCTACAATATGATGCGTAATGTCTTTTTTCCCTCCGGTTTGACGTATCCGGACTGGTTTAACATTAGAAAGGCTGCTAGTAGTTTAGTATAGATGCACTAAAGCTTCTATTAGATAACTAGACTTATAGATGATGAATCGACCAAAACGTCTTTTATAGAGACATTAGGGAGTTTATGATGCTTGGTGACTGCAAATAAATCATAGTGGCCCATAAGGTTTGTTTCAGTGATCGGTACAAATATGTTCGCTGCAACACACCTTCAAGTGAACATCGTATCTAACCCAAAATTCAGCACTAACTGTTGCTTTCATACGGTCGTATATTAGACTGATTAGCAGCTTGCAGAACGAACGTAGGGTCACATTTTTGTCTCCCTGTAGTTATTGGGAATTAGCTTTCTGACTTGGTCTGGGTTATCGTTGGGTAGGAAGGAACTAGCATAATCAAAATTATTACTTTGAGATGTATCCCGCAACAAAAACTTCTCAGGACAAAAGAAACACAGCAAGCGGATCTTTACACTTAAGAGAAGCTATATAAACTTTAGTGGTACTCATGGGTCCATGGTTATAAAATCACTGAATTTGTATTTGAGTGCATCGCAAAACCTCAAAATAATAAAATAGAGTCAAGTAATATAAAAGAAGTATACTCACTAGATACAAAAAGTTTGGTTTCCAAAAGGATCAGAGTTAGTAAAATCCACGAGGTGGCATATATATATAAGATAAATCCGTAGTTGTTTGGATGAAAAGTCAACTAATTCGTTGATGTAATGTGAATATTCCAAGCGTTTGGTTTATTAGTTGTGGTGAAACCTAGGTGCTTAGGCTTTTAACAGACATGAAAACGTATGTGTTCTCGGTAATCTATCGACTAGACTACGACTTATGGCAATATTTAACCCACAGCACTAGCGAGCATAGCTAACCCACACACTAATATAACACCGGTGATAGAAGGAAAAGACAATAAGTACAATTTAGGAAAGGTTGTTTTGCGAAAGTACGAACTTCAACACAATAAAATGATTTAGATACGTAAACAGTAGTAACAAATGAAATGTTAACAAGAGGTTTTAGAAAGGATTTCGCTGTATAGTATAACATTCTGTACACTGTTCAATAATATGTACAAGTTACCATTTAGATATTACGTAGTAAAAAGGGCTATTTTTATGCTATTCAGAAAAAAACCCATTTCAGTACTAATAACCTACAAAGTTTAGGTTTATACGACTTTGCTTCCAATTGGATAATTATCCTGTTAGGTATTTAAAAAATCACCTCTCTTAAACGTCATACCTTAGAAATTAGTACGCTTAGCATTTATGTTTACAATCTTTGTTACATTTTTGTGGGAAAACAGAAAATAAAAGATTTATTGGTAATAACGTCAACTTGAATAGTTATAGTGTAGGACAATAATGTGACTTAAATAGAAAAAAATCAATGTATACTCAATAAAAATTTATAGGACACTTAGAAAACGTAAGATTTTAGCAGAGTATTAGAAAGTCTGACAAGTGACACATTTTTATTCAACCATTGTAACAATGAAATCCTATCTACTATGTAAAAATCTGACAAAATAAAACGGTACTGTGTGAGCAGAGGAAACGGTAATGAACTTCAAGGCATAGATTTTTTGTTGGTCGGAATTTAACAATGTGGCTCATTTTTAACATTGGAAAGACTCGGACCTTTCATGAAGCGTCACAGTCAAGTACGTTCATACTGAGTTGTCGGAGAAGAGTGACATTACAACGTAAGTTTTTCATGTAAGAATATGTGAAATATAGGTCTCTGAAGGGTATTTAAAAAATGACGATGTTAAGGATTAGACGACCAGATAGTTCCTCAACTATGGCGTGTAAGTGACTAACTAGATATACCTATACCCAGAATACAGGAGGATGTTATAAAATTCATTATTTGTTTATTTAGAACACATAGACATTGGTACAAGGAGGCACCAAATATATATGCGCCAAAATTCGTCGTTTGATTTGTGTGAGAGTCAACATACTGCCCGCGAACCCAAACTAAAGCAAATGGTTTTCTTAGGGAGCCACAGCCCGAGCCTTTGACTTGAAGGTCTAATCCACAAGGCAATGGAGCAACTTCAGGAGACGCAGTCCCATAGTGGCCGGTGACCAACAATAGGTTCACATGCCATTTGTCCCTTTAGAATCCTGGAGCCGATGTGCACCATTGGCCTGGAATTAGGGCTTTTCAACTCCTCTAGGCGCATCCTTCATATCCACCAACCCAGTTGAAGCACCGGACATTCGCTTTTCGTTCTCTCAATTTCGTAAACAACACTCCAGTCACGAGAAGGCAGTGAGTAGGGCTTCCCTGTCAGTGGCTGTATACGCGAGGCCATGTGATTAGCATTTTGGGAGGAAGAACGGACTCTCCCCACCCTCGATCGTACCAGGGCATTTTGGGGCAAAACTGTTGAGCCCACCAGAATTTAAAGATGTACAGCTAATGAACCCATGGGGGAAAAGTATTTTATGAATCGTTTAGTAAATAAAGTGATACTGTGTTTCATGGTTGACTTCCTCCTTGTACCAATGTTTATGTGTTTTAAATAAATAGATAAACATTTCTAAATATTAATTACGCAGCTGATATATAGCCATCATAATTATATACTAAAACTAATTTTTTGACAAAATACCACTCCCTGGGAGGCTAGAAAAAGCCTATCGGCATTTTTTTCTTTTGATATCTTAATTTACCTAAACTTTTATTAGATAGCAAATTTCTGCAGCTAACGGCATATGAATTTCAAATAGTCGTCTAACTAGGTATGAAGCTGTACTGCAACATGTAAATGAGATTGATGCAGTATATTATGGTATCATTTATACTGTTTATTCTAGTGGCTACATCCTGTAAACATGATATATTCAACTACTTCCTTATAAATTAATAATATCTTCAATAATACATATTGTACTTTACTGCTTTTTAGTTACTAAATATCGAAATTAGCTGTAAAATATATTCCTTTTCAACTTAAACACCCCTCAATAAATAGTTTCATGGAATATGAACAATGCATCCTGGTCACTGACGGAGAAAGTTTTCAAGTTTTTTCTTCTAACTTCATAAATGTATGAAATAAAACAGTGGATCGTACTTTTAACTGAACTTAATTCATGGATGAAGTTTGTGAAGATGGTCTGTTATTTGGATTTGCAGATATTAACTTGCCAATCATCTAATCATATCTAGCAATGAAGTATCCAGTATTTTCTATCAATTAACTTCTACACATCTTTTTGTAATATCTTCAACTTATTTAAAAAATATTCGCGAATTCAATAAACACGATCATGGGACATTCACTGGCAATTAAGAATGCTTAGGTAACACATAAGAATTGTCTAAGTCCATCTGGCTATACTTTTATCTTCTCAAAATCATTTACCACCATCTAATTATAATGACTTCGTGATCGCTAACCAGTAGTAAGCAAACTAGAGTGTTTGTTAAGGAGGCATTTAAAGTAGCTTTCCAATTAAACATTTTCAATATTTACTTGCATGTAATGATATATTTAATGACAAACTTTACTTGACTGAACCATTTTCATACGCTATGATGGCTACAACCTTTTCATAAGAAAGACGTACAAAACATCTAAGTTTAATTATTTACCTGAGTCTCAACAAAGCATTATACATTCACTTGAAAGAATGAGTTTCTGAGAGATCTTAGATGTAGAAATAAAACCGATATTCATACCAAATATCGAAGTGAAACAAACGAAGCAATCATCGTTTATGATAAATGACATCACAATGAAAAACCCTAAATTTTTATTTATCTAGAGAAAATATTCGCAAACTATAAGACT